ACCTAACCTAGATATTATATAATAGAGATATTCAAAAGATTATGCCTATTGGATGATGTGAAGACCAATGCACCCTCATGTAAGTGACTGGTCAGGGAGTAAGAGAGGATAGAGGAAATAAGAAATAGATAAGAATGTTATAGATAATAATTTTACTGGTAATCGGAATAGGAAAATAAAGATGCTTCCAATGATGCCTTAATGTTTAATAGTGTTTAGAATTGGATGAAATCCTTCAACTTTAAGGCATCTGTGAGAAATATGATTAGAACCTCTAAATTAATAAGAAACCTAGGATTGAAAATCCCACAGATGATTGCCATTGCCTAAGTGACCAATTAAGTCTAGTGGGAAAGACTCCTTTTAATAGAAACATGGCAAGTGAAGTAGGTATCCTAATGGAGATTGACTATAAGGGAAAGTCTTGACCATAAGAGTACCTCTCTGGAATTAGGGATGGTCCTGTGATTCAGAGTTAGCGTTGCTCTACCAGGAGCAAGCTATTTTCTGAAGAAAATACGGGAAAATAGTCAGGATAGAGTTGATAGTGATATATCCTCCATCAATGACTGTATAAATGATGGGTTGACAGTTGTCTCCCACCAAAAGCAGATGAGGCTGGACGTGCTAAGTTGACCTCACCCTAAGGAGAGAGAAACTGATCAAGAATGATAGAATAATAATATAATAGCAACACAAGGGATAGAATGTCCCTCGAGTTTATTAGGGCATTCAAGGAGAATTGATAGTGAGGACCATAGAGTCCAAAAATAAGGTAGATTGGTATTAGTACAAGGAAAGTTAAAAGCCATGGAGATGAACAATTAGCCCAGCGAACTAAAGAGGCATAGTAACATGAGCAATGATATAAAGAGACTAAGGAGTTAAAAGTCTTGAGGTGTTTGGTAGTAAGTGATGTTGAAGTAACAAGAAGGATTGAGTAAGGCCTAAAAAGGCAATACTGGCATCTGTGAGCAGTCTTAGGGAATGATCAGTTAGGTTACCAATTGGGGATGGGTGACTTACTCTTTAACCAAATCTACTGGTCTAAAATATGAGTATGAATTAGACGTATGATGGATCATAGCTAGGGCAGAACGTAAATCCAAGATTGAGAAATCCTGAAGAGGCTTATGATGGGTAGCTCCCAGGGTTACAATAGACCATGCCTAAAGGGAAGATGCTAGGTCGAGAGGGTGATGCCTCTCGAGGTATGAGAATGAGATGACATGCTAAGCTGAGACTGTGATACCTCTCAAGGTATGAGAACGAGATGCCATGTTAAGCCATGAAGGCGATAACTCTGAGGGCATAAACACGAGATGACCAGGGATGAGTTAAGATGTGAAGGCCTTCCCAAGATGGTTAACTAGTATTGAGAGAGTACTCTTTGTAACACCCTAAGTTTTATCGGGTTTCAATAGCCTCTTTTTGGTTGATTTTGAGGATAGATTAGTGATTTAATGTTGATCTTGGTGTTTGGGTTGGAATTGAGGTATGTTGGAGGAATAGGTGAACAGACCCCTCTCAGGGTATGTTCGTCGCGGTGAAGTTTTACTTCGCCGCGGCGAACCGGGAGTTCCAGGGGGGACTGTCTTTCGGGAAGGTTTGGCCGCGGAAAAGTCAGAGGGACGCCGTGGCGAAGTTGTGCAAGTGAGCGAGGTTTCCCCTCTCGGGAAGGTTTCGTCACGGCGAAGGTAGGGGTATGCCGCGGTGAAGGTTTTTCTGGGCGAGCGAGAGTTTCCTCTCGGGAAGCTTTCACCGCGACGAAGATTGGAGTTCGCCGCGGCAAAGTCAGGTTTTCAGGCGAGTAATCCCTCTCGGGATTCGTTCGCCGTGGTGAAGTTCTGGGTTCGCCGCGGCGAAAGGTGTCGAATCTATATAGTCGCGGGAGGGTCTGGTTTTGTGAAAATTAGAAAATCTAAAGGAGGAGAGAGAAACTCTGCTAGGGTTTCGGTGTTTTGGCTTGGAGGGAACATTTCTAAGGATCCATTACCTCAAGTAAGTGATTTTAACCTCTAATCTACTTTCTTTCTTGGAATTTCTGAGGATTTACGGTGAAACCCTAGAGCTTTCTAGGTTGTTATGGAATTGAGGTTTTTGACCGATTGTTTTAAGCTTAATTGATTGCTTTGGGTTAGTCTAAGTATTTAATCGGTGTAGTTTTCTTGGATTTGAAGAACATTGAGTTTTTGAAGCTAGGGTTTATGGAAATGGGAGGTTTGTGATTGAGGATGATAATGTAGAGGTTGATTCTGAGTTTTGTGATTTGGGTTATGTTAAGGAGGGTTAAATTGGATTTTTAATCGATTTATAATGTTGTTAAGACTTCTATTGTTCAAATGGGATGTTTGGGTGTTGAATTCTTATAGTGGGTCCTTGAGGGTATGAATTTTAATTGATGTTTGGAAAGGAATTAAAGTTTTAAATGGATTTTTATGACCTTGGAGTGTTGCCTTCATGGTTATACCCTTTGAGTTGGGTAGAGTTTGGTTGGAGTTAGGAATTTTGTGTCCCCAAATGTTGTTTTGGCCACATTATTAGTTGAAAGCTAATACATGATGGTTGTGTGCTTGTGTAGACTGGTTGTGAGCCTTGTTGGTGCTCGGGGTCGTGTTGTTGGTTTGTTATTCCTTGCTCAGGTGAGAGGTAACCACTTTCCAATCCTTTGTACATGCTTTTGTGGTATTGTGAGTGGATTTATATTTTGTGCTTCGGATAACAACGGTGTTCAAAGTGTATGTTGTATATTGAAAAGAAAAACCGTCTTGTGGCGTTTAAATTGATATTGATTGAATCTGGAACTTGTGAAAGATAGGCCACTGAAAGAAGATAATTGTGAAATGATTAATTACTCTTTGATTACGGCTTGAGCATGATGCATGAATTGGGAATTGGTGAGAGTTTTTGATTGTTACTACCACGTGGTAAGGCCTTCATTAATGCATGATGGTTGGCTCTTTACGTCCCCCATAGTGAGGGATAAGCCTTTCATGGCTCTTTACGTCCCCCATAGTGAGGGACAGACCGGATTCGGCTCTTGAAGATCCCCCAAAGTGAGGGATATGGTTGATGGGATTGCATCATTGCACTTGCATTACTTGTTGTGGCTATAATTTATGATATTACTTGTGAACTACCCCACTTAACACCTCACGAGCACCTATTTAGTAGTACCTTGAATTGGAAAGGTTGGTTACTGGGACGTTTATCTCATCCCGTGGTTTACAATGTTTTTAGGTGAAGGTTCTAGGCGTGTGTCATCGGAAAGAGACGCAGAGGCTTGAGCTTGGTTAGCTTTAGGCCTCTAGCCCTTGTATATGTATGGCTAGTATATATTGCCACATTTAGGGTTCCCTTTTGAAATATTTTGATTGCCCGGCCTTATTGTAAACTGGAGGGAATGTTATCTCCTTATTTTGGTTGGCCGGAGGCCATTTCTAGCGTCTTATGAAACTCTGATTTATTTTGTTGGAAACCATTTGGATGGGTTGATGTGATGTCTTTTGTTACCCGGGCCGGAGGCTCGGAGGCCTAATGGATGTAAATGAATGATTTTAGTTGCATGCAACGGAGTTTGGGTTTAAACCAAGTTTAAATGTAAATTTCAAAAATTATGCAAATTTCTTTCTATTATGGTAGTTTGTTGTAACAGCTTTCCTTTTCTACCATAGTAGTGATTTTATGACGAGTTTATCATGTTTTGAGGTTAAAGGTTTTACACTCTTGACTTATTCACAGATCCCATTATGGTTGGTTAGGTTGATAGCTCAATTCTATTATAGTCTAAGGAGGATAGTACAAAAATAAGAGTAGAAGGAACCGAGAGCTATGAGTTTTGAACAGTGTGTATCCAGGCAAGCTAAACATGAAATGGGAATGAAAGAATAAGGAGATAGACTTTGAAAGTAAAGATAAAGAGAAGAATGACAGAATATACCAAAACACTTGATAAAGATAGCAAAATCTCAGGAAGATAAGTATACCATTCTAGTATTATCAAGAGAGAATGGGCCTAAGTAGTGAAAAGAATACGAGTGGTGATGGTCAAGTACTTAAAGGCAAAAGTTGTATTTAGAAGATATGGTATGAGCTTGTATACTAAATTTTAACGACTTGTTAACTTTTCTAGTTTAATATTCGGTCAGATTCTCAAAATACGGATCATTTCTTATGCATATTTTGGATCACTAATGTAATTTTAGTTGCCAAATATAGTAAGTGAACGTGTTAATTAACGTTGCAATAAGTCACTTTCTTTCTGTTTTTTTCTTGCCAACGCAATATACAAGTCATTTTCTTTCTGTTTTCTTCCCTTGCCAACGCAATATATGTCACTTTCTCTCTGTAATGGATGCTTACCCACTTGTTGATTTATGCAGTGGTAATCATTAGATGTGCCCTTTTTTACTGTAGCAAACAGAAAAATCATAGACCTAATATAAAGAAAGAGCAATGGCTTCCACAGAACATCACAAGAAGCAAAAATGAAAGAAGAATTAAGTGATTTCATAAGCTTCTCTCTCTCTCTCTCTCTCTCTCTCTCTCTCTCTCTCTCTCTCTCTCTCTCTCTCAAATCAAGCCAATAATGCCTCTCCCTCAATTCATCTTACTTTCGGACACTACCCTCTTCAAAAACAAAATCGTTCCATCACTTTCAATAATGAAGACCTCTTGCGTTCCTTCTGCAATCCAATGCAAGGTTTCTTTGGTTATCGCCTCTGATCAAAACAATACATCTCGTCTATATACAAATTATTACCAACCCTTAATTTGAAACCACGACTATATCCAGTCATTAACAAGTGACTTTGTGGTAAGATTTATTTTATAATATTCATATTCGCTTGGCTCTTTCTAATATTATTTCCTTGTTTTATGGGTATTGCGTGTGTGTTATATAACATTTATAACTCGTTAACAATGAGCAAATGTGAAAAATTTTACAGGAAAAATCACATGTGGAAGAAAGAGATCGGTTGAAAGATGAAGTAAGAGTAATGCTCTTGAAATTGGAAAATGCTATGGATCAACTTGACCTTATTGATATCTTGCAAAGATTTGGAGTGGATCATCATTTTGGCCTTGAAATAAGAAACATCATAGAAAAAATCTACAAGAATAAGGACCAATTAAAGAGGAACAATAATTTATATGCCATGGCTCGTGACTTTAGAATCTTGAGACAACATGGCTATGATGTGTCACCCGGTGTTTATTTGATCCTCAGTTCATTAAGTTTTGGAAAGAATATACTTGTCTTTATATACCATTAAAACGTTACTTTTATTTGCTTGGGTGTCTCCAGAGGTATTTAAAGGATTTCTTGATGATAAAGGCAACTTTCATTCTAGCCTTTCGGTTGATAGGAAGGGGATGCTTTCATTGCATGAAGCTTTATTTCTTTCAACTGAAGGTGACATGATCCTGGATGAAGCTAGAGATTTTTCCTCAGCTCATCTCAAAGAGTTAGTCTATCAAAACAAGGAAGACAATGAGACATCACTCTTAGTTAATCATGCCCTAAAAATTTCCACTACATTGGAGGATATCGAGATTGGAAGCTCGATGGTTTATCAATGTTTATGAAAGAAGACAGAATATGAGCCCTGATTTTGTTAATCTTGCTAAATTGGATTTCAACATTTTACAAGCAAAATATCAAGAAGATTTGAAACATACATCATGGTATATATGTGTGTCTATAAATGTGTATGAAAAATAGTCATGCTATTTTAAACATGAACTTTACTTTTCCTAATTTTTTTAGTTATCGTACGACTCTTTCTTTGTTTTTCAATAATATTGGAGGGAATTGAAGTTATTTGTGTTGCATCTCAGACATATTTCTCATTGTGCTATAGCTTTATTGTAAATTGAAACTCTTGTTATGATTTTACATGGGTTTTAAATGTAAAGGTGGTGGGAAAGAATTGGATTTGGAGAAAAGTCGAGCTTTTCAAGGGACAGAATAGTGGAAAACTTCATGTGGACAGTGTTATTTGCTGAGGAACCACAGTTTGGATATTATAGAACAGTTGCTACACAGGTTAATGCATTGATAACTACAATCGATGATGTTTATGATGTCCATGGAGAACTAGAAGAGTTAGAAATATTCACACAAGTCGTTGACAGGTTAGCACTTTGATTATTGCCCTTTTATTATATACTAACTCCAGTCTTAATTTTAAGACTTTTTTTTATAGTTTATAAACGAGGTCTTATAATTAAGACTAGAGATAGTATACTTTAATTTCTCTCCTTGTAAACTGTAATTGTCTTGACATGTTGATCAAAATTTTGTAGATGGGATATAAATGCCATTGATTCTCTTCCAGAGCACATGAAAATACGCTTTCTTGCAATTTATAATTTTGTCAACGAAGTGGCTTTTGACATCCTCAAAGGGAATGGACACAACATCATTCGACACCTTAAGAAAGTGATATGATTGCTCTGATTCAGTTCATTAAGCTTAAAAAGTTGTAGTGATTATATTTTCTTATTTCAAGTGTTAATTATATTTTCTTATTTTATTTTTTAGTGGGCTGATCTTTGTAAATCATATTTGGTTGAGGCAAAATGGTACTGTGGTGGCTATCAACCAAGCTTGAATGAGTACTTAGAAAATGCGAGGATTTCAATTGGTGCACCTATCATAGTTGTTCATGCTTTTGTTGTTCTTTCTAATTCAATCGTGTTAGACTCAGTGGGCTTAGGAGACTATTATGACCTTATTCATTCATTATCAATCATTTTACGCCTTGCCAATGACCTGAGAACATCTAAGGTATCATGAAAATATCCCTTTTAGGAAAAAAAAAATGTTGGATGCTTGCAAAAAAAATCATTAAATATGAAACTAATTTTTTTCATCACATTGTGTTATTGTTTTTGCAGCGTGAAAAGGAAACGGTGATGTACCTAAATCAGTTGAGTGGTACATGAATGAAACTGGGGCTTCGGAAGGTGATTTTCAAAGGCATATAAATTGGTTGATATATGAAACTTGGAAGAAGATGAATAAATCAGCTATCGATTCTCCAGACTTCAAGAGTTTCATCGAAGTTGCTTTGAACATTGGAAGGATGTCACTATGCATGTACCAGCATGGAGATGCCCGTAGCATTGAGGATCTTGAGACTGAGGATACTATTATGTCATTACTTTTCCAGCCTATTGTATGAACTTGCTTTGATTCATCGGTCCTTTTCACTTGAAATAAGCATAATAAGTTTGGGTTGTTGATATGGTGTTATTAGAGTCTGTTGAAAAAAGTGCACTGGTGTGTCCTTTAGAGTCATCAATCTATCTATTTAAAATTCATGGTTTGATAGTTGGTCCTTTGGTAGAATAAAAGAGATGTTAGTGTGTGCATTCTGAAAAATTTGCTGAGAATTTCTCTCCGATTTTCTCCCAAATCTGTCCAGAAATCCATTGCCCAGAATTAAACAAAAGAAAAATCGAAGACGCATACTGAGAAATGTAATTAATTAATTAGCAGAACATTAATGAGGAAACCCCCTCCACTCAGGACATCAAATGTGGCTAAATAACCAAATGTATATATTCCTCTGGTCCTAAATATAAAACCTTTTTTATAATATAAATTACACTATAAAAGGGGTTTTATATTTAGGACTGAAGTAGTATAATGTTTTCTTTTTTTTACTAGCAAACATATATATAATGTTGAAAGTTCCAGGAGCATCCGTTTTCATTGTTGGCGTAACATCCCAAATTTTCTCACTTAGAAAGAGTAGAAAAGACAATTTATTAAAATTATTTAATGTCTAAATAAAATTAAAAAAATTATGAAATATTAATTTTGAGCATTTAGAAGTTTTATAAAAAATTTTATTCTCCAGAAATGGCTTGAATAATTTTAAAGTTAATTTTCAGAGAAAAATGGTCTATTTTCTTAGAAAATTCAACGAAAAATAGTTGGAGGTTTATATATGAGTAAAAATTTTAGGATAATTAATTTATGAGACCAAAAAAAAGCTAATTCAGATATAAAATCTTTAAAATGATTTAAGGATTAATTTCTGGAATTTAGTGCTATTTTCTTAGAAAATTTTATAAAAAATTGTTAGGAGTTTATTTTTGTTCTGAAATTTTTAGAGAAGTTATTTCATGGGCCAAAGAAGCGAATGGAAGAATAAAATCCATATAAAATATTATGTATTAATATTTGGATTTATTTTATAATTTCAGAATAATAGGAAAAGGGATAAAATTGGGAGAAAGGAAAGAAGCGCGGGGCAAGATGGACTTTTCGCCCCATCACACCCCCGCACCACACCCTTAGTAACATCAGACGCCTCCTCCTTCTGCCTCATTCTCGACCTGTAGCAGCTGAAACAGGAGAGAGAAAGAGCGAGAGAAAACGGAGAAGGAGCTTGGCCGGAGAGGTGATCGGAGGTGGTGAAGTTACACGCAAGGGTGTTTTTGGGTTAAGATGAGTCCCCTGATCACTCTCCTTCTCTTCTTTCCTGCATTATCTGCGTGGTTTGAGAGTTAAGGAACGATGAGGTTTCTGGTAGTGAAAGAAAGTAAAGAATCGGAAGAAATGTGTGCTGCATGTTATTGATTTCTGCTGGGTAGTGATTAGTGAAGCTGGGGTTTGTCATTTTCAAGTTAAATTCTGATTTGTTGTGGCTGAAACAGGGGAGGATGGTGTTGAGTTGGTTGTCAGGTGGCACTATGAAAGATGTATCTATGTATGTGTTTGCATGTTGATGATGATGCTTGGGTTAGTTTATGCTTGCTAGGTTATTTTATTGTCTAAAATGTTGGAGAGTTAGGAAGGTTAAAAGTTAGTCTATTAAGAAACATTAAAGAGGGATAATAAGCTAATAGAAAAGATGAAAGAATTAATAGAATCTGTGAATTCCTGCAGGTTATGTTTATAGGAGCTGTTATGATAAATAAAAGGATGTTTAGGAGAACAATAAGTGAGAATGCCGAAGGGTCACAAAGGTATAGTTTTTGGTGAAGTAGGGAATTTGCTAAGGTAATGTCATAAATTGGTTTTGAATGATCAATTAAGGTATAAAATAGGTGTGTGTGATCGAATAGTTTTGGGATGATGTGATTAAGAAGAGTAAAGCGTGATTTTCTCAAGATATATGTGGAAGATTGAGAGGAAATGAGAATAAAGCGGAGTTTTAGAATTTATTAAGAAAGGTTCTTCGAAGAATGTTAAATTAATAGTTTAAAGGGAGTAGATGTTTAGATGTTTAATGTTTTAAAATTTTAGTTATGGAATGAATATAATGGGAACTTTTAGAGATTAAATGATTGAACTAAAGGATGTAATGATATACGAATGGGTATTTGGGAGGTCCTACTTTATGGGATCAAAATATTTAGTTACTAATGATTGTGTGATCGTGCATGTCTATGCTAAGTGTGTATATGGTTTCATAGAAGTAAATAAATCTGTGATAACTCTCCGTTTTTAATATATTTAAAAAATATTTCAAGTGATTTTTTTTGAGAGTTATTAATGTATTTTAGAAGATTTCTAAGAGTTAATTGGAAGATTTGATTTTGAGCATTATTTTAGGATTTTATTATAAATATCTTAATTTAAAATAAATAAAAATAATTAATATTAAGTTTAACATTTAGTTGATTTTATTTTATTTTATTCCTATTTCTTAGAGTTTTTTTCCCTTCTCTTTTATTTTATTTTTCAGTTTTCCTTTGTATTGCTTTTATTTTATTTTATTTTCTTTCTCCTCTATTGTATCAGTTAGCATGTGCTGATTGAGGGAGAAGCAAGCAACGCACCGTTTGGACTGAGAGGGGGGAAGGGTTCTGATTTGGAGAGGGAGGCGCCGAAACTGAGGAGGCTGGTCCATCTTGAAGGCCGCCGTACTGTTGTGGAAGAAGGGGAGTATACCGTTCTTTTACTGGAGCTCGACGGAGACAAGCAAGGAAGAGCTGGGTGGATCATCTTCTTTATCTGAAAGGCGCCGTGCTTGTTCGAACAGAGCTAGCTGGTTCTGGTTCGAGGGAGAGAAAAGCTGGTTCTGGGTTGAAAGAAAGGAGCCGAACTGGTGTAGTGAGGCTGTGTTTTCGACACTGTTCGGATCATCTTCTCTGCTGGTGGTCGACTGGTTCTGCAGGAAAATGACGACAGCAATGAGCTTGAGAGGACGAGTTCAGGCGAAGGCTTGAGGAGAAGAGATCACTAGCAGTGTTCTGCTTTCTTTCTCCTTTAATTTCGATTATGAATTTTGAATCTGAATTTTATTGTTGCTGAGATGGTTTTGTTCGAAGTCATGTGTGGCTAGTGTGTCCTACAGCGTAGAGGAACTATAAACTTGTTAGTGGATTGAACTTTGTTTTTACTGAATTTGAGGATGCTTAATGATAAATTTTGGTTACTTAATTTTGTTTTTCATCTGTGCATTTGATGACTGGCAACTATTAATTATGAATTTGAGAATTAAAGTTTTCTTTGACAAAGGGTATTTTAGTTAAGCTCTTAGATTAAGTAATATGGGATTGGATGATAATCTGATTTGTGATTAGGATAAAAATATACCTAATTGCCTCCTATAATTGTTGATGAGTGAGACCGATTTAGCCTTTTAAGTAATTGTGTGAGAGATTATATGATTAATTTAAGAGAGGGTTATAAGTGGACTTATAGGTATTTGTAGTTAATTGAACTCTAGATTAACAAAATTGACATTAAAGCTAATCAATTCAGTGAAACAAGGTCTAAGAAGCTAGTAAGGGACTAGTGACTCTATGTTGGCCTTTTAATATTTGATTAAATTAATTTGATAAAGTTTTGTTTTGTTTGTTTTAATTTCTTTTCACTCAATTTCACTCAATTTTGATTTACTCAACTTAAATAAAAAGAGGATTTTTATTGCCTAATCACTGTTAACTGAGTTCTCTGTGGGATTGATCTTAATTTGCCACTATCTGTTTTTACGGCCCATACACTTGCAAGTGCGTCTTAATATTTGGTAGCATCAAGTTTTTTTTGGCACCGTTGCCGGGGAACTCAAGGCAATTGGTGGTTAGAATTATAAATCTTTTAGTAGTTTTTGATTGAGTGGTTTCTTTAATCATTTTTTCTTAGTTTCTTTTTGTTTGTGGTTATTTGGATAGATACTTTTGAGATTTCTTTTGTTTTTCAGGTACTAATTATATGCCCTGCAAATCCAAAGCTTCAAAGACACTATTGAAGACAAGGAGTCTTAAGGAAATCTTAGCCAAAACATCTCCTAAAAATCAAGAGAAGGAGGGTGCTAATATTGTTAAAGAAGATATTGTTAAGGATGACAACAATCGTTTGGATGTCAATGACTTTTTGGGAAGGCAATCTAGAGGTTATCAATCTGGAATTGAAGTTCCTGAATTTCAAGCAAACAACTTTGAGATTAAGCAAGCAATGCTCAAGATGATTGAATTGAATGGTCAATTTAAGGGAAACAGTAATGAGGATCCTTAACTCGTACTTGATTCAGTTTTTGGATGTTTGTGACTCGTTCAAGCAGAATGGAGTTCCTAAAGACATCATTCGTCTAAGGCTTTTTCCTTACTCTCTACAAGGGAAAGCTAAAGCGTGGCTTGACAATTTGGAGGAAGAAGTGTGAAGTCATGGGATGATCTAGAAGAGAAGTTTAGAGCAAGGTTCTTTCCACACAACAAGATGATGGATGCAAGGGCCAATCTCACAAACTCTCGCCAACAATTTGGTGAGCACTTGTACGAAGCTTGGGAAAGGTTTAAACTATTGGTTAAGCAATGCCTGAGGCATAATCAAGAGAAATGGGTTTTGCTTCAGATCTTTAGTAGCGGATTAACTCTTGAGTCTAAATCTGAGAGCAGTCACTAATGGTGGAATTACAAAACAACCCTGAATTATATTTGGGGTTGTTTAGATGATTTGGCAGCCGATTATATTTAGAGCAATAGTG